GGACCTAACACGATGGAGATGCCTATTTCTTCCTTGTGTTACAGGAAAGGGGTCCCGATCCAGACCTCAAGAGAGAGTTCTTGGATCTCATGCAAGAAAGAATTCAGGGTGAGTCCACAGTGCAAAGTAAAAGCAAGTTTATTAAGAAAGTAAAGGAATAAGAGGATGGCTATTCCATAAACAGAGCAGCCCTGAGGGTGGCTGGTTGCCCATTTTTATGCTTATTTCTTGATGATTTGCTAAACAAGGGGTGGAATATTCATACCTCCCCTTTTAAGGTAACTTCCTGACATTGCCATGGCATTTGTAAATTGTCATGGTGAGGCAAGAAAATAGTGTCTGGAAGCAGGGAACATAAAGCCAATTCACACTTCATCTACAACAGGAAATATCCTCTCCCTAGGGCATGCACCAAGTAAATAACTTTGTAACTGTTGTAGGAGTTATTAAGAAATTATTTTAGGTAGATAGAGGGGAAAAGGGGTCCTTGGGAAGTTTTTTTTTTTTTTTTCCCTTGAAAAAGGATTTCTTCATTTTAATATGCTTTTAAACACTTTGGTTACAGGAATATCTTATATATAACAAATAATATATAGAATATGACCTTATAAATTCATATGTCAATTGAAGGCCAACAGTGTTTATCTAAATATTATTTTTAACAAAGAATTATGCTTAGCTAAAACATGAGTTCAAATTAAGAAGGGGATATTAAAATACTTTATAAGTGATGATTTGCATGCTTCTATCTTCAAGTAGTTTGTGTTTTACTTAAAAGCAATAGTATTCTGGCCATGATTATATCTGCAGTACCACATACAGATTCTCAATCAGTACACAGTAAGTTCTAAATGGATGTATGTATAATGGAAACACAAGGCATCGAATATATATATTTTTATTATACTTTAAGTTCTAGGGTACATGTGCAGATCTTGTAGGATTGTTACATAGGTATACACATGCCATGGTGGTGTGCTGCCTCCATCGCCCCATCACGTACATGAGGTATTTCTCCCAATGTTACCCCTCCCCAATCTCCCTGCCCCCTGCTATCACTCCCCTAGCCCTCTACCCCTCAACAGGCTCAAGTGTGTGATGTTCCTCTCCCTGTGTCCATGTGTTCTCATTGTTCAACACCCACTTATGGGTGAGAACATGGGTATTTAGTTTTATGTTCTCATGTCAGTTTGCTGAAAATGATGATTTCCAGATTCATCCATGTCCCTGAAAAGGACATGAACTCATCCTTTTTTATGGCTTCATAGTATTCCATGGTGTATATGTGCCACATCCAGTCTGTTATCGAGGGGCATTTGGGTTGGTTCCAGGTTTTTGCTATTGTAAACAGTGCTACAATGAACATATGTGTGCATGTGTCTTTATAACAGAATGATTTATAATCCTTTGAGTAGATACTCACTAATGGGATTGCTGGGTCAAATGGTATTTCTATTTCTAGATCCTTGAGAATGGCCACACTGTCTTCCACAATGGTTGAATTAATTTTACACTCCCACCAACAGTGTAAAATTGTTCCTATTTCTCTGCATCCTCTCCAGCATCTGTTGTCTCCAGATTTTTTAATGATTGCCATTCTAACTGGCATGAGATGGTATCTCAATGTGGTTTTGATTTGCATTTCTCTAATGACCAGTGGTGTTGAGCATTTTTTCATATGTTTATTGGCTGCATAAATGTTTTCTTTTGAAAAGTGTGTTCACCCATGTTTGATGGGGTTGTTGTTTTCTTGTACATTTGTTTCAGTTCTTTCCATATTCTGGATATTAGCCCTTTGTCAACTGGGTAGCTTGCAAAATTTTTTTCGCATTCTGTTGTTTGCCAGTTCACTCTAATGTTTGTTTCTTTTACTATGCAGAAGCTCTTAAGTTTAAATAGATCCCATGTGTCTGTTTTGGCTTTTGTTTGCCATTGCTTTTGGTTTAATAGTCATGAAGTCTTTGCCTATGCCTATGTCCTGAATCGTATTGCCTAGGTTTTCTTCCAGGGTTTTTATGGTGCTAGGTCTTATGTTGAAATCTTTAATTCATCTGTAGTTAATTTTTATATAAGGTGTAAGGAAGAGATCTAGTTTCAGCTTTCTGCACATGGCTAGCCAGTTTTCCCAACACCATTTATTAAATGGGGAATCCTTTCCCCACTGCTTGTTTTTGTCAGGTTTGTCAAAGATCAAATGGCTGTAGATGTGTGATATTACTTCCAAGGCCTCTGTTCCATTGGTCTATATCTCTGTTTTGGTACCAGTACCATGCTGTTTTGCTTGCTGTAGCCTCGTAGTATAGTTTGAAGTCAGGTAGCATGATGCCTTCACCTTTGTTTTTGTTTTTTTTTTTTGCTTAGAATTGTCTTGGGAATGTGGACTCTCTTTTGGTCCCATATGAAGTTTAAGGTGTTTTTTTCTCCAGTTCTGTGAAGAAGGTCAGTGGTAGCTTGATGGGGATAGCATTGAATCTATAAATTACTTTGGGCAGTATGGCCATTTTCTCAATATTGATTCTTCCTAACCATAAGCGTGAAATGTTTTCTCATCTGTGTTTCCTTGTGTCCTCTCTTATTCCCTTGAGCAGTGGTTTGTATTTCTCCTTCAAGAGGTCCTTCACATCCTTTGTTATTTGTATTCCTAGGTATTTTATTCTCTTTGTGGCAATTGTGAATGGGATTTTGCTTATTATTTGGCTCTCTGTTTTTCTGTTATTAGTGTATAGGAATGCTTATGATTTTTGCACTTTGATTTTGTATCCTAAGATTTTGCTGAAGTTGCTAATCATCTTAAGGAGGTTTTGGGCTGAGATTATGGGGTCTTCTTAATATACCATCATGTCTTCTGCAAATAGAGACAGTTTGACCCTAATTGAATACATTTTGTTTCTTTTTTTTTGCCTGAATGCTCTGACTAAAATTTTCAATACTATGTTGAATATGAATGGTGAGACAAGGCACCCTTGCTTAGTGCCAGTTTTCAAAGGGAATGCTTCCAATTTTGCCCATTCAGTATGATATTGGCTTGGGTTTGTCATAAATAGCTTTTATTATTTTGAGATACATTCCGTTGATACCTAGTTTATTGAGAGTTTTTAGCATAAAGGGTTGTTGAATTTTGTTAAAGGCCTTTTCTGCATCTATTGAGATAATCACATGGTTTTTGTCTTTGGTTCTATTTATGCGATGGATTACATTTATAGATTTGCCTTTGTTGAACCAGACTTGCATCCCCAGGATGAAGCCTACTTGATCATGATGGATTAGCTTTTTGATGTGCTGTTACATTTGGTTTTCCAGTATTTTATTGAAGATGTTTGCATCGATGTTCATCATGGATATTGGCCTGAAATTTTCATTTTTAGTTGCGTCTCTGCCAGGTTTTCATATCAGGATGATACTGGTCTCATAAAATGAGTTAGGGGGTATTTTCTCCTTTTGTATTATTTGGAATAGTTTCAGAAGCAATGGTACCAGCTCCTCTTTGTATGTCTGGTAGAATTGGGCTGTGAACCCATCTGGACCTTGACTTTTTTTGGTTGGTAGGCTATTAATTGCTGCCTCAACTTCAGCCCTTGTTATTGGTCTATTCAGGGATTCAACTTCTTCCTGGTTTAGTCTTGGGAGGGTGTAAATGTCCAGGAATTTATCAATTTCTTCTAGATTTACTGATTAATGTACATATAGTTGTTTGTAGTAATCTCTGATGATAGTTTGTATTTCTGTGGAATTGGTAGTGATATACCCTTTATCTTTATTAATGCATCTATTTGATTCTTCTTTCTCTTCTTTTTTATTGTCTATCAGTTTATGTATTTTGTTGATCTCAAAATCCAGCTCCTGGATTCATTGATTTTTTTGAAGAGTTTTTTGTGTCTCTGTCTCCTTCAGTTCTACTCTGATTTTATTTATTTCTTGTCTTCCTCTAGTTTTTGAATTTGCTTGATCTTGCTCCTCTAGTTTTTTTCATTGTGATGATAGGGTGACAATTTTAGATCTTTCTTTGCTTCTCATGAGGTCATTTCATGCTATAAGTTTCCCTCTAGACACTTCTTTAAATGTATCCCAGAGATTCTGGTACATTGTGACTTCATTCTCATTGGTTTAAAAGAACATCTGTATTTCTGCCTTCATTTCATTATTTATCATTATTCAGGAGCAGGTTGTTCAGTTTCCATGTTGTTTTGCAGTTTTGAGTGAGTTTCTTAATCCTGAGTTCCCATTTGATTGCACTGTGGTCTGAGAGACTGATTGTTATGATTTCCCTTCTTTTGCATTTGCTGAGGAGTGATTAACTTCCAATTATGTGGTCAATTTTAGAGTAAGTGCAATGTGATCCTGAAAAGAATGTATATTCTGTGGATTTGGGGTGGAGAGTTCTCTAGATGTTTATTAGGTCTGCTTGGTCCAGATCTGTGTTCAAGTCCTGGATGTCCTTGTTAATTTTCTGTCTTGTTGATCTGTCTAATATTGACAGTAGAGTGTTAAAGTCTCCCACTATTATTGTGTGGGAGTCTAGGTCTCTTTGTAAGTCATTAAGAACTTGCTTTATGTATCTGGGTGCTCCTGTATTGGGTGCATATATATTTAGGATAGTTAGCTCTTCTTGTTGCATTGATTCCTTTACTGTTATGTAATGCACTTCTTTGTTTCTTTGGATCTTTGTTAAAGTCCATTCTGTCAGAGACTAGGATTGCAACCCCTGCTTTTTTTTTTTTTTTTTTTGCTCTTTATTTGCTTGGTAAATCTTTTTCCATCACTTTATTTTGAGTCTATGTGTATCTTTGCACATGAGATGGGACTCCAGAATACAGAACACTGATGGGTCTTTACTTTTTATCCAATTTGCCAGTCTGTGTCTTTTGATTGGGGTATTTAGCCCGTTTACATTTAAGGTTAATAATTGTTTTTTGTGAATTTGATCCTGCTATTTTGATACTAGCTGGTTGTTTTGACCATTAGTTGACACAATTTATTTTTTCTTTTCTTTTTTTTTTTTAAGAGCAAATTAATTTATTTAGTACTTTTTCCATTCCATATCATCAGGAGGATTGATTTCAACTTTCCTTTTACCTACATCAGACCAGTTGGTACTCAAAACTGTACCACCAGACTCCATAAAGGATTTGTTCATGGCACGTTTCACTTCATCAGAACCATCTGAATAGATCTGCTGAAATAATCTGTTTAAAGCTGCATCTCCCTCCAACTTTTCATTCTTTTCTTCTTCTTTTATCTCACCAACCAATTTATCCCAATTTCTTGTATAAGGAGATGATGATGGATATAGGTTCTTCACATCTGCTATGAATTGTTTTGGCGTAGGCTCATCTCCTTGCCCCTCTAGCTTTTCCCATCTCACAGCCTCTGGCTTTTTCAGTTTAATTTCAATCTTTGTTGAAAGTACTTTAAATGTGCTCTGTTCTGGTATTATAGGATGAAGAAGTTCCAGTTTCAAATTGTAATCCTCTCCAGAAGGAAGTTTAACCAAAGCAGACTGTTTTTCTGAAAATTGCACATTTACATAATTCTTCTGAACATTCTTGATCATAAGCGTAATGACTACTTGAGATTCTGTTTGATACCAGTCGTACTTGATTTTTGACTGATGAATCTACACCTGAGCTTCTTGACACCTTTTAATCCAGACACTGAAATTAGCATCTGCACTATCTAATTTTTGTCCTTCTATAAGAGTTTCTAGAGCAGCAGCATAGTTTTTTTCATGGTATTCACATATTCCTTTTCTCAACATAGCAGTGGAATTATTTGGATTGAGTTCGAGAGACTTCTTTGCATCAGCAACAGCAACACAGTAATTCCCAAGAAGAATGTGGCAATAAGCTCTTTGACAATAATATTGTGCATCATCTGGTTTCTGTTCCCAAGCCTTAGTCAGCTCCTCTAATGCCGCCTGGGGGTCCTCGTCGATTAGAGCATCCGAGAAGCTCTGGAAAAACCTCCGGGATGTTGCAAATCCTGCTGCAGCCGCTGCCATCCCTCGTAGTCACTGTTGCTGCTGCGAGAGCTGCTACTATCGCGGTTACCACCTCCGCCACTGCCCAAGGGGGAAACTTCTGCGACACAATTTCTTCATTGTGCTGATTGTCTTTATCATTTGGTACATTTTTGCAGTGGCTGGTACTGGTTGTTCTTTTCCGTGTTTAGTGCTTCCTTCAGGAGCTCTTGTAAGACAGGCCTGGTGGTGATGAAATCTCTCTGCAATTGCTTGTTGGTAAGGGATTTTATTTTTCCTTCACTTATAAAGCTTAGTTTGGCGGGATATGAAATTGTTGGTTAAAAGTTCTTTAAGGATGTTGAATATTGACCCCCACTTTCTTCTGGCTTGTAGGATTTCTGCAAAGAGATCTGCTGTGAGTCTGATGGGCTTCTGTCGGTGGGTAACTCGACTTTTCTCTGTGGCTGCCCTTAGCATTTTTCCCTTCATTTCAACCCTGAAGAATTTGATGATTATGTGCCTTGGGTTGCTGTCCTTCAGGAATATCTTTGTGGTGGTCTCTGTATTTCCTGGATTTGTATGTTGGCCTACCTTGCTATGTTGGGGAAGTTCTCCTGGACGATACCCTGAAGAGTGTTTTCCAGCTTAGATTCATTCTCCCCATCACATTCAGGTACACCGATCAAATGTACATTAGGTCTTTTCATATAATACCATATTCCTTGGAGGCTTTGTTCATTTCTTTTAACTCTTTCTTCTCTACTCATGCCTTCTCATTTTATTTCATTGAGTTGATCTTCAATCTCTGATATCCTTTCTTCTGCTTGATTGATTTGACTATGAAACTTGCATACGGTTTGTGAAGTTCTTGTGATTTTCAGCTCCTTCAAGTTGTTTATGTTCTTCTGTAAGCTGGTTATTCCAGTTAGCATTTCATTTAACCTTTTTTCAAGGTTCTTAGTTGATTTTCACTGGGTTAGAACATGTTCCTTTAGCTCAGAGAAGTTTGTTATTACCCATCTTCTGAAGCTTGCTTCTGTCAATTTGTCAAACTCATTCTTCATCCAATTTTGTTCCCTTGCCGGTCAGGAGTTGTGATCCCTCGGATGAGGAGATGCATTCTGTTTTTTTGTGATTTCATCCTTTTTGTGCTGGTTTCTTTCCATCTTCATGGATTTGTCTACCTTTGCCCTTTGAAGTTCGTGACTTTTGGATGGGGTCTCTGAGTGGATGTCCTTTCTGTTAATGTTGAAGCTATTTATTTCTGTTTTTTAGTTTTCCTTCTAACAGTCTGGACCCTCTGCTGCAGGACTGCTGGGGTTTCACTCCAGACCCTTTTTTACCTGGGAAACACCTATGGGGGTTTCAGAACAGCAAGGATTGCTGCCCGTTTTTTCCTCTGGTGGCTTTATCCCAGATGGGTACCTGCAAGATGTCAGTCACAGCTCTCCTGTATGAGGTGTTTTTTGGATATATAGGGGTCAAGGAGCCTGCTTGAGGAGGCAGTCTTGTCTTTTATCAGAGCTCAAGTGCTGTGCTGGGAGCTCTGTTGCTCCCTTTAGGGCTGCTGGGCAGGGACGTTAAAGTCTGCTGCTGCGGAACTCACAACTGCCCCCTTTTCCCAGGTGCTCTGTCCTGGGAAGGTGGGGTTTTATTTATAAGTCCCTGAAGTGCTGCTGCCTTTTTTCAGAGATGCCCTGCCCAGCAAGGAGTAAGTCTAGTCACAGTCTGCCTGTAGAGGTGCTGCTGAGTTGCTGTGAACTCTGTGTAAACTTGCTTTCACTTTCATTTACACAGGGAAAGTTAGAACTGCCTCAGTAATGGCAGACACCCTCCTCCCGACCGAACTTGACTGTCCTGGATTGAGTTCAGGCTGCTGTGCTGGCTGCAAAACGCTCAAGCCAGAGGGTTTCAGTTTGCTGGTCTTTTTAGGGGTGGGTGCCGCTGAGCCAGATCACTTGGCTCCCTACCTCCAGCTCCCCTTATTTCAGCAGAGTGGGAGGCTCTGTTTTGCAGGCGTTCCAGGCACCAGCCAAAACGGCCACCCAGATTTGTGCCGAAAACCCATGGTGCTGGCTGAAACGGTGGCTCAGATTTGTGCTGGAAACCCCCAGCTCTTATCAGCCTGGTGGAAATCTCCTGGTCTGTGTGCTGTAAAGACCATAGGAGAAGCACAGGATCTGAACCAGAGTGCCAGAGTTGCTGGAAAAGTCCCTGATGTCTTTTGTTGGGTGGGAAGGGTGGGGGGTCCTCCAGCTAGTTGCACTTCCTCGTGAGGCAGCACCCGACCCTGCCTTGGTTTGTCCTCCTTGGGCTGCACCCACTGTTCAATCAGTCCCATTGAGATAAACCTGGTACCTCAGTTGGAAATGCAAAGATCACTTGCCTTCCACATCGGCCTCACTGGGAACTGTGCTCTAGAGCTGTTTCTATTTGGCCATTTGGTGGACTGCAGAAGTTTTCATTTTTAAAACTTCTCCAGAAACATTTCTTCTAAAGCCCTGGCTCTTAGAGCCAAGCTGGCAACCTTTAATATGCAAATGCAAGCCATTTGAAATTGGTTCCACCCAAACAAGGTGATTCCCAGCCTCTTCTTACCCTTGCCCCACATGTGCCTGGCAACGTGGCCACCTCCACATATCCCTAGGTGTGTAGAACATCATGACACCCTGTATTTGCATATTAAAACGCTAGGGTGGGAGGACCACCTTTTTTGTGGGCTATGTGAATGACATGCCTAGTCAAACCAATCCCCTGAGTCCTATGCAAAATAGATACTGCCTCCTCCAGCCTCTGTATATATGCCTGAATGGTGTCCACCATACTTGGAGTTTCCTCTTTTGGCTTTGGAGCCCCCCTCCCTCTGTGTCTGTACAGGGGAGCTTCTTCCTTCTGTCTCTTCCATTCTTTCTTACTTATTAAGCTCTCTGGTCCTTAAAACTACTCCACATGTGTCCATGTGGTTTTTTCTAATTCAATTAGAGGTGAAGAGCCTGGTTTTCCTTTACTGATTGGAGTCATATTATAACTTTACTTCATCCTCTTCATTTACATACGGCATACCCCAAGTAGTGGGTATGTAAACTCACAAAAACTCTGTAACAGGGCCTTTGAGCACCTATACTCAGGCCCACTCTCACACTGTGGAGTGTACTCTCATTTTCAATATATCCCTTCATTCCTTCCTTGCTTTGTTTGTGCTTTTGTCCAATTCTTTGTTGAAGACACCAAGAAACTGAACACCCTCCAGCATTTACAAGGGTGCTGATGAGAGTGCAGCAGTGAGGATTGTCAGATGTCACTCTTGTGGCCATCTTGGTTTTTGGTGGGCTAGAGCAGCTTCTTTACTGCAACCTGTTTTATCAGCAAGGTCTTTGTTACCTGTATTTTCTGCTGACCCCTTGTAAGGTCTTTTAGTTTAACTGGCTGCACCACAGGCAATACCCTAAGTTGAGACATGGCAACCCCTGTGACCTGCACGTACACCTTTGGATGGACTCTCGGAACTAGAAAGTGTGAAGTAACTGGAAAACCACAAAAGGAGAAGAAATGTTCAACCCATGTGGCACCTAATTAACTTTGAGACATTCTGTATTGTTTCTTATTTCCACCTCAACTGACAAGGCAATTGGACTTTGTAACTGACCTTGGTCAACCTTGCGACCCCAGACCCTATGGCCCCCTCCTAGCTTGTAAAAACCACCCTAAACTGTAACTTCTGTAACTTTTCACTGCCTACCCCAAACCTATAAAGCCAACTCCTATCCCACTGCCCTCCACTGACTCTCTTTTTGGACTCAGCCTGCCCGCACCTGGTTGAATAAACAGCCATGTTGCTCACATGAAGCCTGTTTAAGGGGTCTCTTCATTCAGGGCATGTGTTTTAATACCTCCTATCTCATCCTGTAAGTTAGAATCCCTTAATCATCTGGGAATTTAGCCCAGTAGATCTCAGCCTCATTTTACCTAATCCCTACTCAAAATGGAGTTTCTCTGGTTCAAACACCTCTGATACTTGGTTAAATCTTAACCTTAGTTAAATCTTATTGGTTTTGGTAAGTCACATGAAAAGGTTACTTTGGCTTAAACTAGAAAAAAATAAAATAGTTTAAAAATCGGATAAAGTGTTTAGAAAAAATAGGTCCTCAGGTAAAGTAGCCTTGCTTCTTTTTCAGAGCTATCTATGCTGAGTCCAGGAATAGAAAATGCTTTGTTTTCCCTGTTCATTAAAGGACCCCACCCTGAAATCAGTAATTTTAGCTAAGAAACAGACACTGATTTTAAAATATCAACCAGGGAACAATATTGGTCTTCAAAATACACATTTCCAATATTTAGCTGTCTATTTTGAAACACTTTTGTAAAAGAAATTTACATCTATAAAGGAAATCTCCATTGAAAGGTGTCTGCCTCTGTGTATCTGGAAGAGAGGAAGGGCTGAGTCACTAGAAATTTAAAACAAACTCTTGGATTCATTTGTCTATTTTATGATCCTCAATTTCTTTAGTTTTTTATATTTTATTTTCTTCTTTTTGGAGTTATGTTCCCTTGCTCAGGCTGGAGTGCAATGGTGTGATCTTGGCTCACTGCAACCTCTACCTCTCAGGTTCAAGCGATTCTCCCACCTCAGCTTCCCAAGTAGCTGAGATTATAGGTACCCACCACCACGCCCAGCTAATTTTTGTACTTTTAGTAGAGACAGGGTTTCACTATATTGGCCAAGCTGGTCTTGAACTTCTGACCTCAAGTGATCTGCCTGCCTTGGCCTCCCAAAGTGCTGGGATTACAGGTGTGAACCACCACACCTGTCCCTCAGTTTCTTTCATTTCAACTCTGATTTTGGGTATTTCTTGTCTTTTTTTTTTTTTTTTTTTTTTGGAGGTAGAGTCTTGCTCTGTCACCCAGGCTGGAGTGCAGTGATGTGATCTCAGCTCACTGCAACATCTGCCTCCCAGGTTCAAGCGATTCTTGTGCTTCAGCCTCCAGAGTAGCTAAGATTACAGGTGTGCATTTTGTATTTTTAGTAGAGATGGGTTTTTGCCGTGTTGGCTAGGCTCGTCTTGAATTTCTGGCCTCAGGTGATCCACCTACCTCAGCCTCCCAA